CCTCTTTAATTAGACGCTACTTCAGTGACAGACTGCTGCATCCTAGATGCATCAGGGAGCGTCATCACAGATCCTTCCTGCCAGCCTTACTGTAAAAATTTCCATAGCTGTTGATTGATTATTTATTCTCCATGGGCACGGTATTTAAATTGTAAAAACACTTTACAGTACAGTATTTTATTTGCCGTTAGTCTTTTTTTGTTAAAAAAGGTTCCTTTCCATTGCTTGATGTGCCATCTTGGTTTGCAGGATGTGCCAAACAAGCTATTTCCCCCTCTATCCATATTAATATTGGTATCTGCTCGCTCAGGACTTTGGATCTGCCTCGATGGATCTGCAGTATATTATTTGGCTAAAGATAATTAAGGAGCTCACACAGAACTCAAGCTGCAGAAACTCCTATCCACTGACATGAAGCTCATTCAGGCTTGAACTGCCAAAAATTCCCCCGGCTCATTTGTTAAGCATTCCCTCAGAGATGGCGTCCCAGGCATGTATTGTCAGCTGAGCTGTTCTGTGAAGGCAGACCACCAGAAATAATCACCTAGAGAATTTCTTGTTGAAGTTTCTGCTTAGGGCCTGGGTCCTTGGAAATTAATTAGTTTCTTCTTTTGATGGAGGGTCAGCTGTTAGTTGGTTCCAGGGTTGCTACACAGTTTGGTGTTGGGTGCAATTAGATTTCAGTATCTTTCAGGTCTGGCAGCAGGGATAAAAACATTTCCAGGTTTTTCTTCCTTTATCTATCTTCCTTCCTGTCCATCTTTCCTTTCTTTTGAACATATTTTTCTTCCTCCGTAGTTTCTTTCTTTTCTTCCTTGTGTCACTTCTTCTTTCCTATGGTCCTTCCCTATCTTCATGATTTGTTCTTTCCTTTTTTACTTTATTCATCCTGACTTATCTTTCCTTGTATCACCTCTCTCTTCTATTCTTTATTATTCCTTCATTGTTTAGGTTGTTTTTTTTAGTTCCCAAAATAAATAAACTGGCAAATGTTTTTTTTCCTCACCGATACTATGTATGATCCATGTGTTGCGAAGCGCTAAAGTTTACTATATGGTGCCTACTTTATTTCCCATACATGTCAGCCTGATTTTCTGACTTATTTTTCTGTGAAAAAGTACTCAGAGAAAACTGTCAGTCGATAAAAATGACTCTTCACCTCAGCTCTGAAGCATGAATCTGTTTTTTATCTATATATGTACGCCGGGTTAAATTCCCTTTATGATCACAGGGGGCAGTGTTGCCTTGTAATCAACCCAGCCTGCCTAGAGCTTAGTCACTCTTGTTTCGCAGCCTCTCCTCCTCTAAAGTCCTTCCTCTTGTGTGTCCTTGTTATTGTGATGAGCTGTGCCTAATTCCAGAGCAACCACCGGACACTTGGAAGCCGTCCCTTCTAATCTGCTGCCGAGTCAAGGCCGAGGTTTGGGAATCTGCCCGACAGCGAGGCCGTAGGCTCGACAAAGACTGATTTGAGACTCTGGGACTCTCAGGGTCTCCCAAAACACCCGAGCAGTGGCTCTCTCTCACCGCCCTGTTAATCAGCGATGACACCACACGAATTGCCAGACAGTCTGTTCGCAATTAATCTTTTCAACTGCAGATTTAATGCCATCAATGGAGTTTGGAGTTGCTGTGTCCCACGTAGGGGCCTGCGTTTATGTGGTGTCATTGTCTTCCTGATGACTATAGAGAGGGTTTGAAATTGAATATTGAGACTAGATTGGTCAGATGGAGGCTGCTTTTTGTCACAGTGATGCTTCGGCACAAAGTTTAGATTAAGAGAATCATCTGACTTTTTCCTTGCGGGGCCTTTTCTGACTAGGTTTCATTCACTTCTAGATGTTCTTTAATAGTTTTTAAGACTGAAACTCTGATAAAACAGCAACATACATCTGTCCTACCAATGGATCACACCATCTGGATTTTATTTCCTTTATTTCATGTGAACAATACTACCAGCTTATCTCAATGCGGCCTCTGACCACATCTGTATGCTGTATTAAAGATCAGCTTGATAGGTGAGCAAAATTAGATTTTTTTTACATCTGGACTTTAATGGAATAAAAAGAGAAATGAGATACAGGAAATACTGGTCCTCTTTTATCTCTTTCTAAATGTATTACATTACATTGACAATAGTTCATCTATTCTATGAGATGAAAGGTCATGGAAAAAGGAAGCCTATATGAGGTTCATTTTTTACAACAGATAGCATTCATTTATATTCACCTACCTTTTGTTTGATTAATCTAACCCAACATATTCATTCTGGAACAGCTGCAGAGATGCAAAGCTTGATTAGGGGAATAGTTCTCCAACTGGAACAGTAGCAAAAATAAGCTATTGGAAGAAAACCATAGGAAATAGTGTTTGCAGATTGCTACAAGGCTAGAAAGACACTAAGGTTGGAACTGATGAAAAAATCTTTGAGATTTAAAACACCATGTGATACAAAGCCAACCAACACTACCCTTTGCTCTGAACTCACTATGCTCACTATACTGGCAAACAAAAAAAAAAAAGGCCACTCTAGCATGGTCCAACATGTAGCGGCTGGCGAGCACAAGAGATAAGTCACCCATTTTGCTAACAAGAAGCCTGGGTTCGCATACCAGCTGGCGGGAATGAGCTGCTAGTGTGGGTCCTTAGGCAGGACCCTTCAAGCTAATGCCTACTTTTGGGAGTGGTGGCCTAGTGGTTAGTGCATAGAGCTTGGAATCCTGAGGTACTGAGTTCGAGCCCCACACCCAAAGACTTCCACTCTGGGTCCCTGAGAAAAACCCTTAACACTGCTGCCTGGGCGCCGCACAATGGCAGCCCACTGCTCACCAAGTTCATTTTGTTGCTCTGTATTTGGGACAGTGTAATGACAATAATAACTCTGGAAATTAATGCTCTGGTTATGTTTTTGCTTAGCAGCGGAAGGAAAACCAATGGAGTAAAGGAAATTCCTGTAGGAAATAGGTCCTATCACATTTATGTGATGCCTGGATGAAAAAAAGGTCCTCAATGTGAATTTAGTAAGTAATTTTGATTGGCCAAAAGGTCATGGTCCAGTCAAGGTTTACATCTCTGGAAATATATGCTGTCTGATTGAGCTTGAGCAGTGTGATAAGAGATGTTTCTTCTTTAAAATCTGTGTTAAGGCCATTGACGGCGCAGTGGTTAATGTGCACGACCCATGTACACCTTAACGCTGATTTATACTTCGAAACCAGGTCCTTTGCGTAGGTGTTATAGTGAACAAAAGGATGTCCCCGCCCCCCCGCAGACACTCTGCTGCACCTCTCCCAAATTGTAGCTAACCACAGACAGTGCCGCAGATAGGAGGTCTGCTTGTTTTGTATTTATGACCGAAATTGCGGAAAACAACTCGTGAAGATGGACCAGCTAGAAGAGCGAGGTGCGCGAGAAAGGTGGGACCTTTTTCCACCTGGATTCCCGCATGTCGCTCCCTTGTCGGACAAACTCGCCCCCACTTCCTCTCCGCCTCGGCCGTATCTAGACCCACAGCGTATAGCGCAGACCACGCTTCAATACTGGGCATAAATCAAAAATGTCTGCGTCAAGCTTACTGCGTCAAACTGCTGCAGGAGTATAACCAACCCTTTAGTCCTCAACATGTCCGACCTGGGTTCGAACATGGCATGCAGTCGTTTGCCGCATGTCTCTACCCCTCTCTCATACTCCCTTTCCGTCAACCCACTGTATGAAAAAAAGAGCAAGTAGGGCCTTAAAAAAAAATAAAAATAAAATCTATGTTAAAATGTTTCTCCTCTTTAATGTACAGGGTCTTTGCATCAAACCACTGTTGAGTCATAGCTTGAGTAGATTTCTACAGAGAGCTGGTAGAGCAATAGCCCAAAGAACAGTTGTCTGACAAATGATTGACTCAGATAATCTAATTACAGATGCATCTCAAAGTTTTGCAAAATAAGTCAATAAAAAACAAATCAAATGTCATGTATCATTATCCCCCCACTTCATATACTTGCCCTATTTTGTGTTTGCCTATCAAATATAGTCCTGCTGGATTGAACAAGTGTTTTAAACCTGGCAAAATATGAAGAGGTTTAAATACAAACACACACCTAAAAGGAGGGGCTTTTCGTTTGAGGCTTTGGTGCTCTGCCAACGTTCTGACCCTCTATCTGTCCGTCTGATTGAGCATGCTCATTACAACCTTGACAGCATTCCACAAGGGTTGCCAAGGATACCTAGCCGAGCTGCCAGGTCTTGTAATTGTACTCAAGTGTCTGCTCCAAATACATAAGCTCACCTAACTATATAAACACCTCATTTTTTTGGCCTGTACCGTAACCACACAGTGAAAAATAACATGTCGGCTCTTTGCTCTTTTTGTCTCCTGTGCCTGGCCGTCTCCCTTCCTTTCTGTGGATCACTGTTAATCAGTCTCGTCCCATCTTCTCTCCACTGGCTTGTCAGAGGCCCGTCAGAGCCCCTGCAGTCCGTCACACGCCGCTGCAGTTAATGACATGTGATGACACCCGTCGTTGAAGTCACCCGCCGGAGATGACCGGGGACTCGGCTTGCTCGCCGCTTTCAAAGAGTTTCTTTTGTTCAGTCGGCGTTGCGTTTCGAGATGCGTTTGAACCCGGCTTTGCTCTGGTAATGTGCAGCCGGTCTGTATTCCAGCTCACCCGGTTTGACCTGGAAGTTCAAATTAAATGAAAAAACAGTAGGATGTTAATGCCAAAAGCTGGGACACCTTTTTGTCTCCCCTGTAAAATCTGTAACACATTAACCGACTTGAAAAGTCTTAATATTCTCTGAACTTTTGCTTTTAAAAGCTACTTCTTGCTTCATCTTTTTTCTGAACAGTAGTTTCATGACAGAGCAACTCTTCTCTGTGCTTGGATTTACTTTCTCATCTTTTTTCCCTTCTCCAGTCTCTCTCTGGCTCTTTTAGTGCCTGTCTGTTGCTCCTTGCAAAGCTGGTTCCTTACCTTCTGTTTCTGCTCTCATTTTCTCTTCTCCAGAGGAGGAAGTGGAAAACTTTGACGTGTCCAGTCTCCAGGAAGAAGCTCTGAGGAACATCGAGGCTGACAGCTTCTGGTGCATGAGCAAACTGCTGGACGGCATCCAGGTAAGCATGTGGATGTGTGTGTTTGTGCGATGAAAGTCCTTTTGCTTTATTAGTTTCAACTTTACAAACTTGAGGTATACACATCCATCAAAAGAAATAGTATATTTCAAAAAGCTATTTCCGAAATGAAGTTGGTTATTTTTACATTCATCCCACAGTCTCACATATTTGTTTTAATGATTATTATAGCTTACAGGTAAAGAAACCCAGAATTTGTGTCTCAGACATGTAGATTTCAATAGACCAATGAAAAAAAGTTGTACATTTTTTATGCACTCGTTGGTTGATCCTCTGCACGGCGTAGATAATATGGGGGCAGACTTTAGTGAACCTTAATTGGCCTGGTGTCAGTACATAGATTTTATGTTAGGTTCAGATCAGAGTTTGTCTTTGAGAAGAGGTACAATGTGGTCTTTGAACCTGCATGTGAGTCTAAAATCTTTTGAAGCCTCCAGGCTTTCTTACCAGTTTTCCAGTCTCTGCCAAAGCCAAACATTCCCACAGCTTAATGCTGCCACCACCGTGCTTATCAGTCCCAAGTTACCAAGCACTTTATCTTTTCTCCATTTTCATGCAGGCTTTCTTCGCCTATAAAGTTTTTCTCCTTGCCATTACACCAGATCTATGGAAGTGCTTATAGTTGTCCTGTTATCATCTCCTATGACTTCCCTTATGGGTCTCTTCAACCCCTTCAAGGTCTCAATATTTTTGGCTGCTTCTCTCTGATCAATTCTTTTCTTATTTTGGAAGTTTTCACTTCCTCCATCTTTTTGGATTAATGATGAATTGAGCAGTGCACCTTGAGATCTTCAAAGCCCTGGATATTGATTTCTAACCTAACCCTACTTCATTTTATTCCTAACTTGTCTGCAGTGAACCTTGATTTTCATGATGCTGAGAACTTAGCAGAGCAGCTGTATATATACGAAGATTAATTTAACGTGAATGGACACTTTTCCTATATTTTGTGACTTTGAAGAGAAAAAGGAAACTTAAAAAATATTTTGACCCCTTTTAGATTCTTTGTTTTTTTTAGATTATACAAATTATATATACTAATACAAAAAACAATACAAAAGAGCTCAAGGAGACCTAATTTATTGCAGTCAGCGCTCCAAAAGATTCTCATAGTTAATTATTTATACATCCTTGTAGTTACATTACATTCAATAATACTGTTATTATACTGTTATATAATAATACTGTTTTTCATATATGCATTTTAAGAGACCCAATATTTGTTAGGCTAATTATTTATTAACTCTTGCTGCTGAATTCTCTATTGATAAGTGATATGAGTCAGCAAAACTTTCTAAGCTGCCCTAAAATATTCTTTACAGGAGTGGAAAAATAGAGCCTAAAAAAAGTTTAAAAGGCAATTAATTTGGTTGATGTCAATTTTTTTCATATAATTTTATTAAAAGCATTAAAAAAAATGTTTCTCTGATGTTGGTTTTAATTTGAAACAGGTTTGAAGTTTGCTTATTTCCTATATCCAACAAGTTTGTCTTCAGTTTGTTGTTTTGTGTCATTTGTATGCAGCACCTTGTTAACATGGTGCAGACGGGTGGAAACCCAGATGGACCTTTTGTGCTCACATTACACATGCTAGAGCATACTTTGCACTTGATTCAGAAATATGATTGGCCTGGACGCACCGAAAGAGGGCCGCAGTGTGTAGAAACCATTTGCTTGCATACAGACTGTGGCACCAAACAGAAATCCCCCCCCCCCCTGTTTTCATCCTGAAGCCTTTTGGCCACCAGCTCCCTCAATCGACCAGACTCTCAGCGGTCACGGTCGAGCCATCTGTCAATTCCAAACAGGCCCGGCTGAGCTGATGGTGGAGTCAGCTGCACCACTGTTACTCAGCACCCTTCCAGCTTTATTTCTGATCTTCTTCTGACTTCATCTCCAACATATCATTTCAGATCTTTCATAATTGTTTATCGTAAAAATGTTGTAGCCAAGCTCCTGTAACTTGGTCACACCCTCTATTAGCTCCAAAATTTTTCACCTAACATGACGTCTAAAACAGGTCCTTCAGCGGGAATTATTGAAAAGCCGTTAGTCATTTTATTGAATAAAAATGAGAGGTTTAAAAACAGTAGTAAGATTTCTTGATGCCCTAACGGATGCATTATATTTATGCAATAAAAACTTGCCTAGCCTTGCACTAAAGGTAATTAATAGTGCAGAGCATGTGTTCTGCATAAAATGCGAGCATCCTTAAATAACCGTTAACCAGTTGGTAGGCTATTCATTCAGGAAATTAATAGACGCTGTGCCTTGTTGCCCCCTGAGAGAGCAAGACACGGTGCAAGGAGTGCTGGGTTGCAGTGGAACTAAGAGACATGAAGAATACAGTGTGGGCTTTTTGTATGCGTGTGGCGGCTGCACGTCCCCGCGCTTGTGTCTGTTTGTGACCTTGGCTCTGGACTAATTATGTGCAATGCACCAGGGAGCCCCATGTTTCCCCCCTAATGCTCTCTAAACAATCTGACCGACGGTTGGTGCCTGAGCGCTGTAATTAGTTGGCGATCCCCCCTACGACCTCTTCTGAAACCCCTCTCACATCCGCTATACACTATTACAGTAAACTAAAGGGGGAGTTGGGTCGGTACCTTGATAGAAAGCAGATTCTGACCAGTTGAAGCACCTACCAACTGCCCTTTTCACATTAAACCAAAAACTTAAATGCAGGAAGGAGACTATGTGGCTACTAAAATGATTTTATGAATTTTAAAAAAGCATTAAGATGAACAAATGATTGGCAGTTATGCTACACTCTCTCTGTTTTCGTTTGTGGATGATTAAAAGAAAGAAGAAATCCTGTTTTAACTCTGCAAAAAAGAGGGTAAGTGAACTGTCAGTCCTGTGTCCAGAACCCCGTGGGGAGAGGAAAACTTTACCCCTCTGGGAGAACATGGTGTCAGCAGAATCATGCTGTGGGAATGCTTTGCCTTAGTTGGGGCATGGGCATTTTTTTTTTAGATATATTCTAAACATTTAAAAAAACTATGATTGTTTTTCCTTTCTTCCATTTAACAGATTTTCCAACGTTGTCACATAAAATCCCATTAAAGAACATTATTTATAGTGGTTGCCTAGTAACAAAAACATGAAAAAGCAAAATGCATCATTTTCAAGGTCCTTTAACTGTCTTTGTTGTTCTTCAAGCTCCTTATATGTCCATTGAGTCTGAGTGGTGCCATTATGTTGTGCGGATGTCTTTGCATCATATTATTGTTGTAAGGAATTTACTCAGATAATAGTGCAGAACAAAGCTGGTTAAAATATCTCAACCCCAGCCACAGTCTCTGAGTGGCTCGACTTGGTAGCCTTTAGTTTTTCTTCTTTCTTCATTACAGTAAATTATCCATTAGCGCAGGCTTTAGTGCCTCGCTTGCTAAGCCTCTCTTTTACCTAAAAGGGAGCATTTTGACTGTCAATTCGCTTAAACAGCCCCTTTAATGAGCTGCTGCTTTAATTGGCAGCAGTGAAAAACCCTCCTTCCTCTAAAGAGCACGTTAGAATGAAAGATCCAAGCAGTTCTGTTTTCCACGTTGACAAATCAGACTAACTGGAGGGCTTAATAAAAGGATAAACATGCTGGCATTCATTGAGACGCTAAATATTTCTCAGTGTCTTCTTATTGATGAGTGGTTTTCTCTATTTCGGCATGCACACACTGCCTGGTGGACAGTAGAGGGTTTGAAGGGTAAGTGGCTAAAGATGGACGTCTCTCTCTTACATGGCGGGACTCTTTTGGGACCATAATGGTGCAGAGACCATTTGCACATCAAGCAGACTAATATTAGAGTAAAAGATGTAAGCATTGCTTTGCAGACTGGAGCTGTTCACATTAGTCATGTTTAAATGGAGCATTGTTCATCCAGTCATGTGACCCATAAAAGTGCTTTTAAGCAAGACAAGAGCCGTCATAAAACCACCTTCAACTGCTGCAGTAAAAAATAAAAAGATGTAAATTGGGTTTTCTTTGATGGATGCGTTTGCCTGTTTGAGACTCATCGTGGTGAAGTTGACCCTAATGTTGGCCCAGTCTCTCCGGCAACCAATTAGGGTAGCACTCTGGGCTGCGCCTCTGGCTAACTTGTTTAACTTGTCAAAGCGGATTCACATTAATTGTTTAGTTAAATTTTAATGAGGCTGATGTGAGTGTGGGTTGTTGATTAAAACATGTCTGCCAGCCAGACACATTTTTTTTTATATATTTCTCAGCTTATGAGTTTAGTCTACATTACATTTTTATTTTGATGCATTTAATGTTCTTTTCATACATGGCTAATGAAATTTTGTCTGAACTAGAAGCTGAAATCAAAAACTTTTAAAAAGTCCTTTACTCTCCTTGTTCAATCCCAAGGGGTCTCCTTTTTATAAAGCCAACAGATGAAAACCTGTCTCTTATGCTAATTCTGCAGAAATGCCCTTTACAACAGGGGCTCTTAAATGCATTTCTTTGCAGTCCTGGACCCCAACTCAGAGAAATGTAATCTCGCTTTGGGATCTAAAGTTATCCTATTTCAGCAGTAATCCTGACAAATGGGAATGGAACATAAAAGTTTCTCCCACCCTTTCTTCTCAAACCCCCAGTGATTCGGAGTCCTTCTACTTTAGCATGATGCTAAACCTCAGAAGGTACAAGAAGTCACTTTTATCAGGGAGTAATTTGGAAATTGTGTCGAATATATGTTTCCTATCTTTTATAAATTGAAATAACCTATAAATAGATTTCTTATTATAGATTAAACGTGTTTAAAAGGGAATAATTAATGTTTTACATGGTTTATTTTTGTCTAATATTGAGAATGGCTTCACAGCAATAATAGTACCTCTTCATCTGTAACTATATCAGCTCTTACAGCTTCTCTGGCCCTGCTGCTGCATTTGGCTTTAAAACTAGCGACACATCTTTTTCTTTTTAAAATCTTTTCTAGGATTTCTTTGACTTCCTACTCTTCAATCATGCTACACTTTAT